TGATTATGAACTAAACCCTATTTTCTGGAGAAGACCGTATGATGTAGCTATCAAATTTCTATTATTTAATTGGAATTATTTGTCTTTCTCGTTCATATTGTGTGTGGATTCTTAATACTTTGTGTAGACTTGCCACCTACATATTGATTTATTGTTCTAGGTTGAGACCGATAGGAGATACCTAGGATAGAACACTCTTGCATACGTCATAACACCCCAATTGAGCAAGAGAGTGGAAAGCGGGAGTAGTGTGATCATTAGAGGAGTTATCGGACTTCACGTAGGTAGTTAATTAATTGTTTGTACGAGAGTAAACGATTAATTGACTAGCTAGTATGTAGTGATGTTTCAGAGAGATAGCTATCACCTTAGGGATAACTTTGATCATTTGAATGAGAATTAAAGTGATTAATAAACGAATTGAATCAGGTAATTAGGTAGTGAATTCCAGGTCATCTTTCCCCATAGCTTCTCTCCATTGGTTTTTCTCCAAGTTAATTTATCACTTTCCGTTCTAGTTTATTTATTTCTTTTAATTTGTTTGCCACACAATACTTTTGTTTTTTCAGATCTTTAATTCTGATTGTTAAATCTAGAGTTGTACAAATCCCCGTGGGACGATGATTTACTCATCTTTATTACTCGATCGATAAAGTGCCTATACACTTTTGTCGTATGAATTCACATTTCCGAATACCTCTTTGTCCCGAACTTTTACTTAGGACTTAACAAACAACAGTTTCGTAGCCAACAAGAAAACGGCTCCCACTCCCTGAACCTGAACTCTCTCCACCATCTAGTTACTCAATTCTTTATAAAAATGAACATTTTCCGGACAAATGTTCTGGAACCGCCATGGTCTCTTAATCTTCCTATCCTGTCTCATCTCAGCACAAGTAAATTATGATCCGATGCAACCATTTCCATTGCACTCAGCGTGCAATTCGGGTATAGGTGATCAAACTCATAGGAAATCAGAATCCAATCAATACAAGATAGAGAGACCCGCTTGAACCATGACTCCACATTAATTTACTCCCACCCATAGGCAAATCAATAAGTCTTTTATAATCAATGAAGTGATTGAAATCATACATTAAATCAGCGCTCCTTCTCACCCCAATATAATCATCATGGCTCCTCACCAAATTAAAATCTCGAGCGATGCACACCGGTCCAGTCAGCAGCGAACAGAAAGCATGAAGTTCTTCAAGGAAAATCCATTTATCATACTTGTCCAGTGGTCCATACACTATTACCAGATGCCATGATTTTGAAGTAATAATCTCCAAAAGTTCAACACTCATAAAGAAAGATCCCTTTGAGCTATAAATCTTTGTGAAATAGAGCTTGTCCCATATAATCGCAATACCCCTCGAGCTTCTTACTACGTTCTTAGTCACCCAATCAAAATTCGTTCTCCAAAATAGGCTACCAATCAGACCCTCATCGCACTAAGATCATTTTGTTTCCACTAGATCGAAAATCTTCGGATTATGTCTTCCAATTAACCGTTTAACTCTACTCCTTTTATTTGGATCCCAAGCACCCTAATATTCCAAATAAAAATACTTGTATCCATAGATCAATTACCTGTAATACCCCCACCCCTTCCTTTCTTACATCTTCTTGGACCAGTCGGGGAAGGCACCGGAGACCCAGTCTGAATGACTCCATTTTTCGCTTTGATCGCGAGCTTCTAATCTTTCTTTGATGTAATCCTTTAGCAGTTTGGGATACCATTGCATCAACCTGCCCCTGAACTTCTTCATGCCCCAATTTCAATAGTATTCCAACTGAAATGCACGCATCTAACAACGTTTCTTCATCAAAAGGAAATACATCTACTTCCCAGGTGCGGCTTGAATTTTCCCCTAGACAAGAAGGATAGGGGAACTCTGAGCATCCAACACAAGCAAAGTTAGGTGAATCCAACAAAATACTTGGGGTTTGAGGAACAAAACTAAGCAGCTCATCCCCTTCGATAAACTCTGAAGGAACGTGGGTGACGACATGATTAGACAATTCAACGAAATCTCTCGTAGACCCGGCACTTATCCACAACAAGGGAGAACCAAAGGACAATTATATCAACCGATTGGCTATAGGCGATTTACTAGGAAATGGAAGGAAATGCTCATAGTTAATATCTCCCAAATGGAAATCGATAAATAAATTGGGAAGGTTCCAAAAGATCCCCAAAGAAGGACCTCCTCTAATCTGATCTCCCAGACAAACGAAATAGGAGAGAAGGTCATAAGATGAATCCAACATTTGTATACCAGGCTGGCCCAAAATGGGCTCAGATGAAACCTGCTTACAAAGATTGCTCACACCATCATCGTTGGGCCCCAAAGGTGATCTAATCCAAATCGGACCTTCTTTCCTAAGCCAAATTAAACCTTATTAATCCCATTGAAAGAATTAATAATGCTATTGAAATTTGCTATAGAGAGGAGAAAGAAAAAAAATTTATTTTTAAATTTTCACATTAAATTGCTACCGAATTTCGGAGGGGTGGTTTTCCTTTTTAAACTATTATTTTAATTATTAATGACATTAAGTATTTTCTCATAGTACTCCACTTACCCTTTTAGGTAGTCCGCCCCCATTGCTTTATCTATTATTCTTATTGGCCTGCCAAGATTTAAGAAACTCCTTAAGCTTATAGGCTTAAGCACAGAGTCTGACTCGTTTTCCATAGCGATAAGATCATATGATATCAGATATATGATAGTGATAATACAACAACCAACATATGTTTTGAATATTTGATATTTTTTTTCTCAAAATACAACAAAACATATATCATTATGTATATCGTAATTAATGTATTTTTTCTATGTAATTATTTTTAATTTTGAGTTAAAACAAATGAGATAGTATCCAATTGAGAAAAATAGATAATCAGAAAAAGTTTCTTCTCTCTTCTCTAAATCCATGTCAGTAAAAACAAAAAAGACATCGGTGTAAGAATTGAGTTAGATCAGTGAGATATATAGTATGAGTTTATAATTAGGAAGCCAACAACGGCTAGGAGGAAGGTTCAATGCCCATTATGCTTACATTAGCATGGTCTGGGAGACCTCTTTCCTTAGAAGAGCTACCTAGTACCTATAGTTGATCTGTATGGCAGCTATCTCTCGAATTGGGATAAGACCGTCCTCCATCTTTCATGTATTATATATCTTATTTTTTACTTCTTACAAGGGTCTTGGTGAAGAAGTGGGTGCGAAATTACCAGTCCACTCTTCCTATTTTTCTTTTTATTTTGTTGGAAATTATTTTGGACAGTTAAATATAACTAAAATGGGCGGATCTAGATAGAATTTCGTAGAATAAGAGTTTCTACACGGTCGAATTTTATGCAAATAAAAAGTCCAAAAGCCCAACCTAAGCGCAGCAACAAGCAAACCATAATGATTAAGAAATAGTTTGGAATTGAAGCAAGCAACAAAAGGGAAGAAAAGATAAATAAATAAATAAATAAATAAAAAGAAAGCACTCTTTGCATTGACAAGTGAAGAGAGAGAATTGAGAAGCCAAGTCTTTTATTTATTTATTTATTTCTTTTTTTCTGGAAGTCAACAGCTAGGTTATATAGATTACTACTTGTGACCTAAGGAAAGGCATTTTCTACCAATAACCCTCCTCATGATCATATCTCTTTTGTGACAAATTAAAACAAAAATGTGAAAACACACACTAGACAACGATTTGCCTTGGATGGAGAACGGATATGGTTTATAGCTTTTATATTAACAACTATGTATAATCTTATAACTATTTTTGTCAATTAATTTTAATGAGTTATATTTTTTTATTTTATATCATAAATTTTCATATGAATAAGATTAATTGTATTTTTCAAACAAACATTCACTTAGATACATTTCGAAATAAGAAAATTGAGACATGTATTACATGTCCAACCAGGATGGTAAAATTTGGCAGTACATACCATGTAGTATGAAGTATGTATCATTGTAGTATGAATAGCCCATAGTTGACAATGGTTGTATATCACCTTTCATCACCGTCAACCACCCTATATTAGGGTGGTATTTTGGTCTTGAAAATTTTCCCCCAGAAATTTGTAGATTCAATAGATCACGATGAATACGTTCTTTCTCGGCAAATGGTTCAAAAAAATTAGTGAAAACAAAGTTGGTACATGGCGGTATCGAGGTAGTATTAAGTGGTATGGGTGGTATGAATTTTTTTTTTATCGAAATATATTGAAAATGAATATCATTGTGGAGATCACAACAGACTCGTTCCATATATGAAAATTTTAAAACCCAAGTTAAAATTAAAAATATATATATATAAATTAAAAAAAATAGTAAAAATAAAAAATTCGTTAATCGCAGTCCTTAGATCTGATTCAATTTAAAATCAATGACCTAGAGTTTGTTAAGCAAATGTGCATAATCATGTACCGTCAATAATTAAGAGTTATGCACCGTTATCTTAAACCCACATTATGGTAGGGGGCTGTACCATGAGAAAGCAAGTTGGGGGTTTAAAAAAAACAAGAACGCAAATACCATTTTTTTTTTATGTATATATCTTCTTTTCAATTTTCATCTTTTTGTCATGTGTGATAGGTTGGTACTTGACAAATTAAATGTGTCTGATTTCAAGAAATTAAATTTGGACTAGCACTTTAGAATAAATATTAATAAAAGAATGTGCATTAAATATTTTTCCATAGAGCAAAAACTCCATTGAATCTAGTAGTTCAATATGACAGTTATGTCCAGCATTTACTCTTATAATTATGGTTGGAGCTCAAATTTTGATGTCCTATTTTATCCCTTTTACCATCGTAATCAAAATTTAAACCAACTTGCTTTATCATTATTATTATTAATTAATAACTTCCTAACACAAACCCTTTTCTTAACATATGCAGTTAGATTAAAAAAAAATAAAGCACTCATACTTTTAGAATGGATACCATAACAACACAATACTTTATACTATTCAAATAACATCTATGGTTAAATAACTTAAAAAGAAGAATGGAGAGTTGGAAGAGAGAAGTTAGAACAAACCAAACAACTACTCGTCTTAAGAAAAATGATTCTCAAATACTTGAGAGAGAGGTTTAGTTGACCTATCTCCGTTCCATCCAAAACCAAAACACAACCTTTGCTTTGCTTGTACTCTTTTAAGTTTTTTTTTCCTCTCCAACCTACCCATAATACTAAAGCAAGAAGTGAGATTGCAGGAAAGATGATTTAAATACTAAGGCAAGAAATCATCAAATTTCCTTCAAACTCACACCACCTTCTCACCCTCCTCCCATTTCTTCCAATTCCCTCCAATCCAATGTTTGTTTTCCTTCCCCCAACAAAGAAAACCTCCCTGCTTCTTCTTCCCTCTCCCCCTTCCTACCAGTAGCCTACCAACGGCACTTTCTTCCTCCTTCAGCAATGGCAAAACAACAATTAACAGCAACACAAATCCTCAGAACCTCGATCTACACATTCCTCCAACAATTCCAATTCTTCACGTCCACGCCCTCCTTCCTCGCCTTTCCCTTCTCAGCTTCAGTCCTCCTCTCACAGGTTGCCGCACCAGCCGCAGCCACCGAAACCCTCTTCAACCGCCTCCAATCCCTTTGCCAGGCAGCTGGCTTCCCACCCTCTTCCCAATTCTTCACTATCCTCAACCTCAAGCTTGCCCAGACCATCGCCGCCTCTATTTACACCATTCCATTTTCTCTCACCTTCTTCCTCTTTGCGAAATCCTCTGCTTTCGCTTCATTGAAGAACAGAGCATTTAATCAACCCGATCACAGTAGCCCTCCCGAATCCGTCTCTTCCATCTTTTGGCCGCTGCTCCTAACCCATATCACCAATTCGTTCTTAGTTATCTCCGCAAATGCATCGGCCTTCTGCGTCATGTTCCTCTCGTTCAACGTCTTCGAACGGGTTTTCCCAACTTCCCCTGTTTTCCTCCTATTGCTCTCTGCTGTTGGAGCGTTGATTTACTCCGTGATTCTCGCCAACGTCATAGTGATCTGCAACCTGGCGGCAGTGATCTCAGCGATGGAAAAGAAGGGTGGGTACATGGCGGTTCTGAAGGCGGCGGTGATGATGCAAGGGAGGGCTTCGACGGCTCTGTCTCTGGCTTTGCCGGTGAATCTGGGCATGGCAGGAATCGAAGCTCTGTTTCAGTACAGGATCGTTATAGGGCGGTACTGGGTTTATGAAACGACGCCGTGGTCAAGGAGCTTGACAGTGGGTTTGGAAGCGATGCTGATATGCTATATGTATTCGATGTTTGTGGTTCTTGACGCCATTGTTGGATGCTTTTTCTTCAAGAGCATCAGGGATGAGATCGTGGCGAAGAAATGTGGCCTTGTTGGAGAGGAATTGGAGATGGGTATTGGATATTACGCGAGTTGGAAGGTAGATGGTGATGATGACGACAAACGTGAGGTTCCGTGATGGGAAGAGTTGGATTCGACATTTTACACGATACAGCAATTTGGGTTTCTGATATTGTTAGTTTCTTTGATTTGGTTGATTCTACTCTACTCTACTCTACTCTACTCTACTTTTTTTTTTCTCACAGAGGAGGAGATGGAAAATTGGCAATTCACCTACCCGTTCAAATCCACAATGCTGAGGAAAAAGACGAATGGGGAAATGTCAAGTGTAATTATTTGAAATGGAAAGATTCGGATTAATTTAATTCCTCAGTTTGTTAGCTTGTACAACAGTACAAGACCAAAACTTTTTCCTTTTCTTTTGTTTTTAGCCCGGATAGGTTATTTGTTAGAAACAACAAATTAGAGGTTGTTCAACAAATACAACAATGTGAAAAAGGATATGAGGATTTCAAGAATTAAAAGATGTGAAAGTTATTGTAAGAATTGTTATATGGGTTTAGGTATCTCATCTGATTAGATAAATCCGATCTTTCACATTAGAAAGAATTACTAGAGTTACACCCTAAAGTCCCCGTTCCTTATAAACTCATCGAACCTCTATCCGGCTTTCGCCAAAAAATGGACGAAGCGGCTCTTCGGGTAGGTTCTTGATTTTTCTTTTGTGATTTTTTTAATCGAAACAATTTAATTTTGTGATATTTTTTAATCAAAACAATCTGATTTCATTACTTTTTTATAGATGGGTGCCGAGATATACGATCCTCGATTGTATATCCATTATGGGCAAAGAGATACGAGGTATTTAACCGATCAAGAAGCACATCGATCCTGTGCAATTCGGGACAACAATCCGGTAAATTGATGATTTATTTTGCTTTATTTTATTATTTTATAAGTTTTTATTTTGCTTTATTTTAACTAAAAAATTGGTGTTTTTCCTATTTTTTTTTTTAGGAATCACTTATTCTCGTCATTCATAAAGGGACCACAAACTTGCCCGCTTTGCATGATTGATTGCGCCGTATATGGAGAGGACCGGGTTGGGTATGTTGAGGCATTTCATGCGGATTAAAATCGACAACGATCTACTTACGGCAATGGCGGAGCGATGGCACCCCGAAACCCATACGTTCCACCTTCCGGAGGGGGAAATGACGATCACCCTCAAAGATGTCGCGATCCTCACCGGGCTGCCGATTTTTGGAGAGGCCATCATTGGTACCACTACCAAACCCGAAGGAGGTTTGGGGTCGCTCATTCGTGCTCGTTTGGGATTTGACATGCCGACCACCACACCAATTTGAGGACAGGGGTATCCACCGTTGAATGTGGGACAAGTGTCGGTCCCGTGGCTCGTTACTCACATCCAAAATGAGGTGGAAATCGATGACGAGACTCCGGAAGATCAAGTGGAGCGCTATGCACGCATCTACCTCATTGGTTTGGTGAGTGGATTTCTGTTCACCGACAAGTCAAACAGGTGGATTCAAGGCATATGGTTGCCATTGCTGATTGGTGACTGGGACGCAATCGGGGAAAAGAGTTGGGGATCGGCCGTGTTAGCTGGCGTATATAGCTGTGTACTTGCTCGAAGGTGGGAGCGACACAAGCTGGTGGGGCGATGTTCATCCTCCAGCTCTGGGTATGGGAGCATCTTCCAATGTTCACACCTCAAGACCCACGTCCATACCGGAGAGCAGATGATGAGCTACAATTTGTGCAAAATCACCCCTATGGTGTCAAATAAGTTTATTCCGTACTTAGCCTAATTGCAAATGTATTCCATGCTTAGCTAGATTTAAATTACATTTATTCCGTACTTAGCCTAATTGCATATTTATTCCATGCTTAGCTAGATTTAAATTACAATTATTCCGTACTTAGCCTAATTGCAAATTTATTCCATGCTTAGCTAGATTTAAATTATATTTATTTCGTACTTAGCCTAATTGCAAATTTATTCCATGCTTAGCTAGATTTAAATTACCTTTATTTCGTACTTAGCTTAATTTAAATTTAGGGTTAAAGACACATTTGGTCACTGAGATTACAAAATCGGGACATGTTTAGTCACTAGAAAAAGTTAATATCAAATTTGGTCACTACAATTACTAAAACTGGACGCATTTAGTCACTCGCCGTTAGTCTCCGTCCAACTCCGTTAATGAAGTCCGTTAAGTGATGATGTGGCAAACAAAATTGCCTAATCAGCCGGATATAACCCAACAAAAATAAAACCCGACCCGCCACGTCATTAAAACCAACCCAACCCAACCCCACCCAACCCTTCTTCCTCACCAAATCTGTTCGTCTCCTCTGACAAAACCTCACCGAATATCAAAACCTCAACAAATGGCCGACGAACCTCCGCCCTCCGCCGCTCCTCCTCCTCCACCCCCTCAATCCGTCGTAGAAGAGCTCCCGGTAGCACCGCCACCGCCGCCGGAGCAAGCCCCAGCTGCTGCGGTTTCCGCGGAGGATTCATCCGCCGCACCGCCGCCAGAGGAGGAGAAGAGAGCACAAGTAGAAGGGGCGCCGGTGAAAGCCGAAGTGTTCGCGAAATCGGTGGTAATCAAAGAGGAGTTCACCGGCGAGCCGGAGAAGAAGGAGAAATTGAAGGTTCCGGAGTCTCTGATCTCGTTCAAGGAAGAGAGCAATCGAGTCTCTGATCTGTCCGATTCAGAGAAGAAGGCTCTCGATGAGTTCAAGCAGCTGGTCCAGGAAGCTCTGGACTCTTGCTCCTTCACCTCTCCTTCTCCTCCGCCGCCGCCAAAGGAGGAGATTCGGACTTCCTCTTCCGCCGCTACCACCGCCGCTGCTACGGAAGCTCAGAAATCTGAAGATCAAAGCTCCAATGTCAGCACAGAGATTACTCCATCGGCCGCTGAAAAGCTAGAAGAAGAAGCTACTCCAGCAAAGGAAGAGCCTGCGGCAGCTGCTGCTTCCTCTTCCTCGTCAGCTGAGGTGTCAATTTGGGGGATTCCGCTGCTGGAAGACGACAGAAGCGACGTCGTTCTGCTGAAGTTTTTGAGAGCTAGGGATTTCAAAGTGAAGGAAGCATTCACGATGCTGAAGAACACGATCCAGTGGAGGAAGGAATTCAAAATCGACCCAACCCATAATCAAAGATGAATCCTCCGCAGAAACCGCAGCAGCTGGGGCTTGCTCCGGCGGCGGTGGCGGTGCTACCGAGAGCTCTTCTACGGTGGATTGAGGGGGTGGCGGAGGAGGAGCGGCGGAGGGCGGAGGTTCGTCGGCCATTTGTTGAGGTTTTGATATTCGGTGAGGTTTTGTCAGAGGAGACGAACAGATTTAGTGAGGAAGAAGGGTTGGGTTGGGTTGGGTCATGGGTTGGGTTGGTTTTAATGACGTGGCAGGTCGGGTTTTATTTTTGTTGGGTTATATCCAGCTGATTAGGCAATTTTGTTTGCCACATCAGCACTTAACGGACTTCATTAACGGAGTTGGACGGAGACTAACGGCGAGTGACTAAATGCGTCCAGTTTTAATAATTGTAGTGACCAAATTTGATATTAACTTTTTCTAGTGACTAAACATGTCCCGATTTTGTAATCTCAGTGACCAAATGTGTCTTTAACCCTTTAAATTTATGCCATGCTTAGCCCAAATTTAAATGTATTCAATGCTTTAAAAAATTCTTATGTCCGTACTTTTACTTACAAGGTGGATAGGAGCAAATACAAACGACCATCAACCTGAACACTCTTTGCTGTTTTATCGTTTTGATTTAGATAAGCCTTGGTGGAACCAAGTAATCATGCTTTCTAATATTTTAACAAATAAATTTTTTTCAATGTAAATGGTCGCTAATTGTAAATTATCAATGAGTATAGGTTACATGGGACCCATATCAAAGTGAAGTGGTCGAGCTGCATCATCTGAGACACCCCCAGGATCAGGATGCGTGGTTGTGCAAGGTGCCATTAATCTACTGGCACATCGTGGAGTGGCACCTACCCGATCGATCCTTGAGGCAATATCGATTGGAGCAACCAATTCCACAGCGTTCTTCGATGTGAACGACATACCCACCTCCAAATTGGCCATCAGATTATACACTGGCATAGGGACAAAGTCGGGGCCATCATTCTGACTATGTAAAAATTGAGTTGGAACCTGTGTGTAGTATGCGTCGGTGCCTCACGAAATGCCGCCTCGTCGTCGTTATCGTCAGTATCTTCCTCCTTGCTTACTGATCTCAAATCTTCCTCAGTATCATCGTCGCTCGAGTCAAATGGATAGCTCGGGCCAGAAGGATCAACATGACCACCATCACCAACATCCTCTTCTCGCTCATGTGAAGTATGCCCTGATCGAATGATATTCTCGATTTCAGCCCACTCAGGCCCCCAAGCAGGCCATTGAACGCCATTGGCCTCAAAAAATGGGGCAGGTTCATCCCGTTGCGGGTGTTCTTCCGATGGCACCCATCCTGCACTACTACCTCCTCCGTAGTTGCTTGAACTACCACCCTCTCCGTAACCTCCTGTATAACCACCTCTTTCGTAGTTGCTCGAACTACCACCCCATCCGTACCCTCCTGCAAAACCATCATCATAAGAATACTGGTGAGAATGAGTTTCACCGACCGCCTCGGTATCAACATACACCTCTGCAAGCCGCATCCCGTTATTGCTTAGGAATTGTAACATCATCGTAACCGCGTCATCATCGTTTATGACAACTTCTTGGTACACAACCCCGCCAACACTCATGTCTGGATACCGGTAACTAATTTTACCAAGTCTCGTCTGTCCGCTCGTACAAACCCTGTCTGCACAAATATCACAGAGTTCTTGAAAATTGAATCGCGACTGAATTTTCAACATAGTGGATTCACTGTCCTCATAATCAATCCCTATGTCCGAGTTTGTCACCCTTCCATTCCACCGAATAATAGCTGAACCTTCTTGAATTTACCCATATCTACAATTTACAATAAGCAACTATCAGCTTAATTCCATGTAAAATTAACCAAAAGCATATTGTACGTCTAATATTACTCCATCTCATAACTAACATAACATAAATTCAACTAACTAACAACAACATAAATTCCCCAACTAACAGAACATATTTGCTACGATAAGTAATTCATTACATAACAATATAACTACTAAAATCATCATTAGGCTACAATACAAAAATTAAATTATACTGAAAAATTCTTGTTCTGTGTATGTTGCTCGGTTTTGATTGTTGAAAATTGAAGAGGGAGAGGGGTTACGTTTTTACAACTGCTGGTGGGAGTGGTATTTATAAGAAAATCGGGGGGGGGGGGGGGGGGGGGGGGGGGGGGGGGGGTATTCACCGCGTCAGTCCAAAACGGTGAACGCTATCACCGCGTTGCCCTAGCGCGGTGTACATTATGTGGCTGTGACCTAATTTTCACCTACCAGGGTGGGAAACGTGGGAAACAATCACCAGCTTAACCTAGGGCAGTGAAGTTGTTCCCCGCTTTCCCCAAAAATGGTGATTTATTCACCATTGTCTACAAACACGGTGATGTCTTCACCGTTTCGATCAAACGCAGTGACCGTTTTACCTTTGTAAATGAAGAAGGTAATTTGTTTACCGTTTTGACCTACGCGGTGAATTATTCACCGCTTTTCTCTAATACGGTGATTACATTCACTGCCTTAGACAAAGGCGGTGAATGTAAAACATGTGTATAATGAGAATTTTTTTTATAACTTATTTGGGAATTTTTTTTTAATTACTAGTGTATTGTGGGATTTTTTCCCACTCTCTGCCAAGGTATCAGGTATCTATGAAGCGGCCCATAATGGTGATTGTATGTGTTGGTTCCATGCCTATGGAGAAGCAAATGGGATTCTAAAAAAAAATAGCAAATGGGGTGGCTCACAAGTCACACCCGAGCTCATCTTCCTCCTGATTGTTGGCCTTATAACTTATTTACATGCATGGCTTTGTCTCGTCCTATGATGTAAAACCCAATCGCAGGCTATACAAACAAGGGTAAATTAAAATGAAGTGTTAAATCAAGGAATGAAAAATCGTATCATATTCCTGGTTCGATCAGAATTTTTTTTATCGAAAGTGAAATTGATAGACGGTATTTAGCAGTATGAAATGGTTGAACCATGATCAAAATACGATTTCAACATAAATATTTTACCACTTACTTTTCTGGTACAACTTCTCGTACAATTTTTCAATGATTAGTTTAAATGCATAAATTGATTTATGATGAAACCACTCATCCATGACATCCAAAGTCTCAGTGTCTTAGAGTTGATGAATGTTCAAGTGCATAGACAGCAGAGAACTGAAAAGCAAAGCATAGACATATCACCTCTGCAAATCTTAAAAGAAATGTTTAGTCAACTAACTTGAATTATTATGACCTTGTTTGCAGTAATTTTTCAGAAATAGCACCGTTATTTTTTTTTCAAAATAAGCATCCAATTCCGAAAAATTCCAAAAATAGCATGATTTCCCAAAACCGCCACCCGGGGCGCGTTTTTCGATGAAAACCGCACTGGTAGGGGGTGGTTTTGCAAACCGCATGGGGCCGTGGCGTTTTGGTTGCAAACCGCACCCCACCATGCGGGTTTGGTCTCTTTTTTTTTCTTTTTTGAAAAATCCTAACCTAGGTGGAAACTTCAAAAGAACGTATCTTTGTGTTCGGGTATCCGATCGTCGCAATTTTTATTTTATTCCGCATAACTTTTTGAGATCTTGCAAGCCGAAGACTGCCAAAAGTGGTTTGGTCTTGCCTTCGTCCCAAAAAATGTTGTTTGCTACCCCGAACGAGCTTTTTTTCAATTTCGTCAAACTTTGGACAACATAACTTTGTGCTAAAAAATCCAAACGGCATGAATTTTTTTTTCGCATAACTTTTTAAGGAATACAACTTTTATCATAGACATAATTTCGAAATGTACGTGGATTGCTGAAAATGGAAGGTAAGCTATTCCCAAAATCCTGTATATCCAAAAATAATTCCTGTTTTGAAAATTCATTCCTAGTAAAAATTGTAGTACTTAAAAAGTTATGCGAAATGAAAAAAAAATTCATGACGTTCGGATTTTGGTGTACAAAGTTATGGTTGTTTAAAGTTATTGAGGATTTTTAGCTTTAAAGGAGTAAAACTTAGTCAATATATTATGAGCACTTCTACTATGCTATAAAGTATTGG